CACACACACACACACACACACACACACACACACACACACACACACACACACACACACACACACACACCTTTCTGAGAGACTCATTTTAGTTTGATAGCAGGGTTTTTATGACTACACAATGGTGCAGATTTTTTTGTTTGTTTTAGTTTTAAAGATGTCAACAAGGGAAGACTTGTCCATCCGGCCTTACATGTTGGAGTCAGAGTCCAACCCAGGCCAGAGCCAGAGGAGAATGAAGACCACYAAATTGAACTTGGTAAGTCCAGGCCTTATTTAAGTAGTTCCATTGCAAAATCTTTGATGTAGTTTAGATAACATCACAGAAAATAGATAAAACTGAACGAGTTTTCAAAATATGACCCAAACAGAGTATAAAGATATCCATGCAGCACCAGGATAAACTAAATCAAAATKTTATGCACTCAAGCATGTGTACTTTTGTTACATTTTGTTGTAACAAAATGTATTTAAGAGCAAAAAATGTGGATTTTGCACAATGTGTCCCCTTTAATGGACACAAGAAAGTGAATTGTTCAAGCAAAATTTCTGTACCAAAAAAAAAACATTGTTAGCAGTCTTGGCTAGCTAGCTACCACTAAGGCTGTTCATCCAATACTTTTGTACCTTTTTTTTTCTGTGAGGTGCACTTCTGTGTCCATGAATACCCAAACTTGGTGTGTTTTGGAGTCAATAGTGTTTGCCTAAACTAGAAGCTCTGTGGGGGGTGGCTAATGTGGCAAACCACTTCACAAGCACTTTCCATCTTTTACCTTGTGTCTTTTTTATCAGCTTCACCATCATTTTCATTCACCAGGCAGTCTGAGAAAGCCCTTTCATCTGAAAGTAGAAGCAGAAGGAAAAGAGCCAGCCAGTTGAGATAAAAACAGGGAGAGACAGTGATGGTGTTGGGATGATTACATGTGAGCAGGCCTGACTCTTGTCCCCACACCTCTCTGCTTATTATCCATCCAAACAGCCTACAGTTATGTATGGATACTATACAGCTGAAAAATCTTTCTGACAAAGAGAAGAAAAGAGCTGCTTGTTTCCAAGCAAAAGGTTAAGGCATGTTATGCCTTTGGATCACAACTATAGCTGCTACAAGTGACCTTGTGGGTAATTGTTAAGCTTGGATGTAAAGATGATGTTTTGCAGCTCAGGTAAAACTGCATTTATCTGARGCCCAAAAATATGGAGCCAATTTTGTTTCAAACAAGCACGGAGTGATAAGCACACATGCACATAAGATCTAGATCACAAGGGGCCTTGAAGTACAATTCASCATTCATTTATGCTCCATATTAAGGCTAATAGCATCTTATAAATAGGCTCTCTCAGGCTCAAGACTCAGGCCTGGTCCTGGCACATCATATTTCAAGCTAACATTTTACTTCCAAAGCCTGGGTTTTAAAACAAGGTCACTTATTCTCTCAAAAACTTAAGAAGCCAAAGTTCAGTGCCAGTTCCTTTTCTCCTTCCCTATTCTGAAATTACAAGGGCTTTCAGTGAGGTCACTGCCCGAGCATATGAATAATAGATTTTAATTGATTTAACCTAGTCCTGAAGTGGGCTAAAATGCAAGCCCTGTCACTTTCAGAGGGCAGCGCGAGGGGTAGCATGGTCCAGCACACATCTTTAAAAGCCCCTTGACGTTAGCCTGGGATGAAATATTTACACTGTAGTCAGGACTGACCTCCTGCTGCAGAACCACAACGTGATCCTCAATTGATTTCTGACAAGACAATTGGGGCGAGACAATGCAGCGAGTCCTGTCCATCTCAGCTCACCAGTCCCGAAATCTCTGTGGTTTTGTGTGATGTTTCAGAACAAAGCAAGGTCAGTAATGTGATAAGAGTATTCAAGTGAAAATATTTTTAATGATTTTTTTGGCAACTCTTTGGCTTCATCAGACCTCATTTCAGATAWAAAAGGACTTTTGAGGAAAGAACATGTACAAAATTTAGACTTTCAGTCTTAAARCAACAGTAACGAGTGTGAAAGTTTGTTAGTAAAAGTCTCTAAAACCCAACTTTTAAAAAGTGATTGAAGAAAAAAAATAGAATTACAGTCAAAAATTGTTACCTAATTGTTAGGTTACAGGTTGGGTTGATTGGACCAAACTTTGGATCAAAAGGTTTGACCCAGTGGTTAGGTCAGAGATAACCTCTGACATTTTTTACAATTTGTCTGTTTTAGTCAGAAGTTGACTAAATCACAYCTGACTGGACCTCTGATTTAAGATGCAACAATTAAAAGGTAAGATGGTAGAAATAACTTGTGTTAGCTTTGTTAAACTTTAGTTAACTTTAGTTTGCACCTATGGGCAATGAGTTCGGATTCCTAAAAAAATATTAGACGGTGCAAATGTTCAGAAGTTGGAAATAAAATACATATAAAAAGATTAGATCCCGCTTGAAAAGATTATTTTTAGTACGAAGAAAAAGTATATCTTCTTGAAAGTCTGGTCACCAGAATGCGTCAGTAATGCACACTATTGGTGATCCCTTGCTGTCTTTTTTTTATAACTGCACAATTTATTTTACATTTTGTTTATTTTAATATTTTTCATTTATATATTTCCCCTTAGATAATGTATGTTCATTGTTTTGAGTTGTATTGTTTTATGATTTATAAAACTGTTCAAAATTTGAAAAAAAAATCTATAAAACAAATAGTTGGTGCTAGCTAGTTGATGCAAATAGATGTTAATTGCAACATAAGTTCTAATTATCTAAAAGCTCAGATTTTTTTATTGATCTTAAATTCTTAGATCAAACCAATAACTCAGCTATGCTGAGTTAAAACTAACCAGGATTGACTCGGACCAACTTTGACMCAGTGCTGTGTTACAAACTGGGTTAAATTTAACCCAGCTGTTTTGAGTGTGTATTCTGCAAGTCCACACAGCTGTACAAGAAGGTGCTTTTTGAGTTCTTGCTGCAGGTTGTTGTCACTCTATGACCTTATTTGCTGTGCAAATTATGAACAGGTTCAATATTTACAGCAGGTAAAATAAGTATTGAACACGTCACCATTTTTCTCAGTAAATATATTACTAGAGGTGCTAATGACATGAAATTTTCACCAGATGTCGCTAACATTCCAAGTGATCCATACATACAAAGAAATCAAACCATAAATATCCAGAAATGAAGTTATTTGTAATAATGTGGAATGGCACAGGGAAAAGTATTGAACACGCTTAC